CTTTTTTACTTCTATTTCTTCCTTTAGTTCTGTGATTCTACTTGTGTTCCGGGCAAATTTGTTTATCTTTTGCTGATCTTCAAAAGTAACATTGACATCTTCTGCAGCCTGAAAAAAAGTTTTCAATTTTTTGTAGAATTTTAATGAAGAAGTTATAGATTAGCTTCTTTTACTAAAATATCAATAAACTATACTAATGTAGTCCAGAATCATAAAACGTATAGAATATCACAAATGCCTTAGTCTTTGCTCCATGAGCTTAAAATTTGTTCATAAATCTATAAATTTTTTAACATTACAGAAAATAGTGCCTAACTTGTATACATTCCAAATATAAACAACATTTAGTAAGTTAGAAAAAAGAAACAGCTCATCTTTGGCCAATAGTAGACTTTCCCAAGGCAGAATACTCTGTCATCAAGATAACCCAGGGAGCAAAAAATATCTATGGTCAAATAATGTTAATGCCTCATATTAGATTTTTTCCCCCATAGAGTTAAAACGTGTATAAGCATATTGTTAAGATCATAAATATGAGAGTCTCTAGTTTTAAATCAAACTGATATTCAATGGTTATACCCTGTACATAGTAAAAATTATATTATAATGTGAAGCTTGTTTATATGTCTTCATAAAACACAGTTCACTATAAAATGATAAAGATTAAATGTTTATAAAATGATAAAAATCCAAAAGCTTAATATTTAAAAACTTAGCATATAATGTGATTAAATCTGCAAATAAAGAGTGCTTGGATGTCATAAAGCATAAAGTACTAAAGCTAACAGCTGACACTGATTGAGCCCTTACTATACACCAAGAACTTTCTAGGCATTTGATCATCTCTACTAATTCTCCAACCAGTCTTAATAAGGGGGATTGTCACTGCCATTTCACAGGTGGAAAAACTGGCACAGAATTTAAATAATTGGCCCAAAATCGCACAGCCAGAAAATAAAGGAGTCTGATTTTTACCAAGGCAGCCTGGTCCCAAAAGTCCAAGACATGCCTGTGGGCTCTAAGAATTGGAATGCAAAAGTATACGCGTATATTGTGTGTACATGCGTACATGAGTTTCTGCATACTTAGAAGAGGCAGCAGGAAGTTCCTGGATTTCATCAGGTTCTCAAATGGGCTCTATATATTAAGAAATAAAATCAAATACCAGACTCTCCTTAGAGATTCCTTTATAAACGGGTGCTCTTATTATAAAGGACTAACAATGTATGGTATAAAAATAGTTGTTACTGAAGCTACATTATTATATCTATTAGCACATATAGTTTATCATAACTATATAATAAATGCAGCTTCATAAGGATTACCAGTTTTATTGCCAATGAAAGAAGAAAGAAACGGGTTCACGATATCCACACTCCATCCTTTGTCTCTTGTGACCCATGACATAAAACATAAAACTTTTATTTCTCCAGTACTTGAAAGTCAACCTGTAGTCTCAAGCAAGACGGCTCAGTGGCCAGAATATAAAGGCAGAAACCAGAATTGAGCCCTCCCTTTTATTAGGCTTTCTTCCCAATAAGCCATTTCACATGCATTAGACCCACCACCAGATTCCAAGCACATCCTAAGAAATCCCTTACATCATGATTGTGTAGCTTTCTGAGTGTTCAACCCCACACAGTTTTTATAAAGTGGGAAACATGAAGCTATACTAAAGAAACCACAGGAACACCTATAAGCAGGTGTCTTGGCATTTAAGTAATCCTCCCTATATTAGAACTACTAATTTCCTACGCAGAGAATAGAGAATCCTAGAGCTCCTGCTTGCCTAAAAAGTTTATGCCATTTTAGTTAAATATTGAGCTCCAGAACACTTCATATGTATTTATAGCTGTGTTTGCTATCATGAGGATTTTAAAGGGTAATTCATGTAAAAGTACGTAGGAGAGCTGCCTGACACAAGTAAAGCTAATGGTTTCTGAATTTGAATCTAAATCATGATGAATCAGACTCAAATATTGTTAAGGCAAAATATATGTGTGCACATGGGCTTCTGAACACTTAAAAAAGTGAAAGTGCTGCAGAGAACTTGGTTACTGCTCTTTTCAAAACAGACATTTCCTGTTGTAGACCCACCAAAAGGCAAGCACCAGTAGGCACTTAGACCCTGGTGCACAACTCCTAACAGGGGCTCTCCCACCAGGGTTCAGGGCTGCAACTGGTGTGTCAAAAGGGTATATACCAATGTTACTGTACACTGCCCTGTGGGGTGGTTCACAGCAGGGGTAAGTCACACCTTCAATGGCCAGGGGCAGTGGCTTCTGGTTGTACAATGCTATTCTAGAACACTTCTATGTTTCCTGAACCTGCATTTTGGCAGAAAAGGTAATGCTTTTTTTGGTTCCAGGGACTGAACCCATGGTGCTCAACCACTGAGCCACACCTCCAGCCCATTTTTATTTTTTATTTAGACACAGGGTTTCACTAACTTGCGGAGGCTGGCTTTGAATTCCTGATCCTCCTGCCTCAGCCTCCCAAGCTGCTGGGATTACAGAAGTGCGCCACTGTGCCTGGCTGAGAGAGAATAATTCTTAATTGGGGTCCAAAACATTGAGAAGTAAATTTACTCCTGAAACTGTATGCAAAGTGGCATGCATATTAATGTGCACCCTTCTTGCAAGCAGTCTTGGTAGCTTTCACAAGACTTTCAAAGGGATCCACAATCCCAAAAGGTTAGGAACACTTCCTTAAGAGAAACCAAATGTAGTTACTGCCAGTGTTGCGATTTTCTAGTACTCAAAGCAGCACAGAGTGGAGGAAAGTCACAGTGGATGCCAATGCACCCAAGCAGGAACTTGAGGTAAATTACTCAATTCTCTTGACACCACCTCAGATTTGTCATCTCTAAAATGAGAAGCTAGTTCTACCTTACAGGGGTGATGAAATGAGTACTGAGCACAGGGACTAGGGATGTAGTCACTGTTCAACAAATGATAGCTAATCACTTTACCTCCTGAACACTCTTCGGCCAAACTCACTACAAAGAACAGATGCAGGTATAGAAGGAAATCCTGCTAGGCCTAAGAGAAATATGACTGCTCAGGGTTCAAGGGAAAATTAAAATTCCCCAACCTCTGATTATACTCTTATCTTTAAGAGTTACTATCTTGGGCTGGGGATGTGGCTCAAKCGGTAGCGCGCTCGCCTGGCATGCGTGCGGCCCGGGTTCGATCCTCAGCACCACATACAGACAAAGATGTTGTGTCCGCCAAATACTAAAAAAAAATAAATAAATATTAAAATTCAAAAAAAAAAAAAAAGAGTTACTATCTTATGGAATTCTAGGAGGAAGTGAACCATGCTCAATCATGCTCTGCACTGAGTTTGAGTAGTGACAGCTGAGTCCCCAGAAAGAAAATGGCCAGTTTCAGTCGGTTTTTACTTTTTAAAGGTATCTACCAAGACTCTGTATGTGATTTTTGCTTTGTACTTTCATGCACCTTTCAAGCACACAGTCATGAATTTAACAATTATTTAGTAGTATTTCCTATGTGCCAGCCACTGTGACAAGAGAGCTTCAACCCTGCCCTCATTAATACCTGCCAGCTTTTATTTGGTGGGGGGAGGTGGCAAAAGACAAGATGAACAAGATGATGCTCAATGGCAATAACCATGCTGGTGACAATAGTGTAGGGGTGGAAATCTTCACTGTTGGCACTATTTAACCACGTGCTCTGATCTCCCTGATTCTAGCCTTCATCTCGCAAGCCCTTTCCCTCCACAGCTCTCATCAGAGATGGAAAGTTCAGCTTCCTGTGTGACTACTGGCTGCCTCTCCCCCAAGAGTTCACCCCACTGGGAGGACACAGGGATAAGAACTTCTTAATGCCCACACTGTTACCTACATCATTTAAAATTGAGACTGTGTCATATCACATGCTCAAAAAAAATTTATTCAATGAATGAAAGAGGGAAAAGGTTGGTAATCTGTCCAAGGTTCAAATCATTCTTCTACCATTTTCTCAATGTTCTCATAGTCTCTGTACTACTTTCCATATCTGTAAAACAGGAATGAACCACAACCAGTGTCTTCCAAGGAATTAAAGGCCACATGACCAGGGAGGATGCAACTTAACAAAACAAAGGGGAAGGGAACCTCAGTTTCATACCTGCCTGAAATCTTCAGGGTCCCAGACCTTACTCTGTTCCTAAATAAAATTTATAAGGGACGGACCACAGGGTGAGCAATGCATCCTGACTCCCAGGTTTAGCTGTCCCTTGATCTTGGGCAAGGTAGGATGGCTGGTCACCCAATAGCATGCATAGAAGCTATAGACTATATGATACTAAACAGCAGGAGAGTAAAGAAGTACATTTTAAAAGTAGATTCAAAAGTGGAGTGAAAACAAATCCCATCGGCTAGAGGATTCTCAGCAAGAAACACCTTTCACAGTTAAAAAGATTCTGAAGTAAGAAGGTCTTTAAGTCCTAGCTTTTGCCTCCGTTTCCTCTTCTGCCAAATAAGGATAAAAACAGTTATCTCCCAACAAGAGTAGTGAACCAAGATAAATAATAAATGAAATGGGCTAAGAACTGTCCTAGCACACAATAAAACATCAATATTTATTAGCTGTTAATTCTTCCCCTCTCCCCCACCCTGATTCCCTTTTTCTTCTATCTAGATATCTGGGAAGGCTTGCTGGCTATAAATCCCAAATGGAAGTTTACTTTGCTTTTGAGTAAAACAGTGTGATGAAATATCACGCTATGCCCTATAAGTATATATAATTACCATATACCTTTTTAAGATAAATATTTGGAAAGTGGGTTGTGGGGAAAATAAAATGACCAAATCTGACATCCAGCTCTGCTTTGGAGCAGCAGGGTCACTGCGGGACTACAGCCTGCTCTTAGTCCAGGAGTCCCCATCCCCTGAGTCGCGAGAGGACCCAGATGACAGATGCGCGGCGCTGGGTCATGATACCCCATCGTCAGCAGACCCTTGGCTTCACCCTGCAGGGCCAAGGGCACCACTGAGGCTGCCTACAGTGAAGGATCAGCTCTGCTCTCCAGCTCCCCGGGCCGGGATTGTCCACCGTGCATCCCATTGCTTTCCCGCTCTTGGGGCTTAGGCAGTCCACAGTGCACGGGCCAGCTCTGCTCTCCCACTCCCGAGCACCGCCTGTTCTGCTCTCCCGCTCACGGGGCTCGGACTGTGCACGTGCACCACCTGCTCTGCTCTCCCAGACCCCGGGGCTCGGACTGTGCACCGGATACCGCTGCCTCTGCTCTCCCGCTCCCGGGCCCCGCGACCTTCCTCCCCGGCCTCCGCTTCGTCACGGTGAACACGGCGCCGGGCACCCACCCGCGGCCTGCGGAGGGCCAACGCGAGCACGCGCACACCCCGCCGCAGCCAACGGGCCTCGGGCTTACCGCACCCAGCGCAAGGCCGGGCCGCGGTCCCCGGGGGGAGGCAGCCCAGGACCCCGAAGGTCCCGGCTTATGGCCCAGGTGCCCAGGGCGCCCCCAGGACCAAGCCCGAGCTGCGACCCTCGCCCTAGCCCGCCCAGGCCGCGCCGGCCGCCCGCCGCCCCAGCGCTGCACTCACCGCCTTCTTCATGGTGGCCGCCATCTTGGGGCCGCACCACCCGGCGCGGCGGGGAGGGCGGCTGTAGTGCGCGTCTCCCCGTGCCCGCGCTCACTCTCTCGCTGCGAGCCCGGAGCGCTGCTTGAAATACAACGGCAGTCTCCACATTCCTTCCTATAGGATCCCTTACCCACAATTCCCCGCAGCTGGGATTCAGGGCGCAGATGAACCCTGGAAGGACTTGGTACACGCCAATTAAAGGGACAGGCAACGCCCTGTGAACCGACAGGAACGGGGGCGTGGCGCTTGGCTGCCGTCGCCCACCGTGGGCAGCAGGGGGCGCGCCGGGCGGGGCCGCCAGGGCCGGGCAGGTTCCTGTTCATCACCTAAAAAGGAGCTTGGCTCGAGGGAAATCCAGAGGGCGCAGAGGAGGTGGCGCTCCTGTAATTTATTCAGCAATACCGGTGAAAAATTCCGGCACACTCACACCAGTGCCTCTGATTCGTAATGGTGTTCTTAGCTCAGCCTAGATGCTTCTGAAGTTCCTCTGCCCAAAATTCGAGCTTTCAAGACGAGGAACTGGCAGCCAATTTGGAAAGCAGTATGGAGATTTCTTGGAAAGCTGGGAATGGAACCACCATTTGACCCAGCTATTCCCCTTCTCAGTCTATTCCCTAAAGACCTAACAAGAGCATGCTACAGGGACACTGCTACATCGATGTTCATAGCAGCACAATTCACGATAGCAAGATTGTGGAATCAGCCTAGATGCCCTTCAATAGATGAATGGATAAAAAAAATGTGGCATTTATACACAATGGAGTATTACTCTGCATTAAAAAATGACAAAATCATAGAATTTGGAGGGAAATGGATGGCATTAGAGCAGATTATGCTAAGTGAAGCTAGTCAATCTTTAAAAAACAAATACCAAATGACTCCTTTGATATAAGGGGAGGGAAACAAGGACAGGGTAGGGACGAAGAGCTTGAGAAGAAGATTWACATTAAMMRGGG